CTCACGTTCTGCCGGCCCTGGCAGGAGTGTGCGCCACCCTGGTGTCCAGCCAGAGAGACTTCCTGAAGTGCAGGGTGGCCTGTCGCCCAGGCGCCTACCGTCTCAAAGGGGTTCCGGGCGGTCTCACTCACTGGGGACAGCAGCGTGGGTGGGATGGGGGGAGGGGGCTGCCGCAGCCCAGTGGAAGCCCGCTTTACAGAATGCGGCTGTCAGATGGCCCCGGGCCGGCCGGGCATCCAAACAAGCATCTCCAACACATGGTCCCCATGTGCCGGGGACTCACAGCACAGGCCTGGCAAGCAGAGGCCCCGGGGCCGTGGCATTTGTATGCAACCACGGAAGGAAGCACTGTGCCATTCTCAGTTGTTCCTGCACTAAAAGATGAAGATGCTTAAGAACATGCTGAGGACCCCTGCACTTGTGCTGGAAGATGGCCTCCCGAAACGATGCGCTAGGAGGCCCCAGTGGAGTGAAAGGTGGATGGGCTTGGCTGCACTCTGAGAGCTTGGCTGTTGAGTCTACCCAGGGGTGCCTCCAAAGAAAGGCCTGGCAACCCTTTTCTGAAAAGTTAGCCACAGACTACCCACCGGAGGGCACATGGGTTAGATGGCTAGTGGGTTAGCCCAGGGGTCGTCGGCAAACTCCTGAGACACAAGAGCCAATCCTGTCCCTCACAAATATTTAAAAAGCCATCGATATATTTTTTACAAACAAATGAAACGACCATTCTCTGAATGATGTCCTTTTAAACTTGTCTGTTTGACTTCAAAGCCACATGCACCCACTGGAAGAGTGGCCTAGGGCTTGTGAGCCGCATGCAGGTTACCGACCCGGAGAGACAATTCAGCGCTGGTCCAGGGTGGTTCACATGCCTGTTTGGGGTTTCCAGAACGTCCTGGGAACAGAGATGGTGGTGACGGCTGTAAGATCGGATGGATGTACTTAATGCCACTGAATTCTACATTGTAACCAGTGGCACGTTATATGGTATACCCATGCAGGCACCTGGACACACAGCGTATTCGCACGCACATATGCACTCGTGCATCAGGGCCTTTTGAAAAAACAAAAACCGCGATGACCGAAGAGGTGTTGTCCATTCCCCCACCTCCTGCAAGTCCTGCGATGGCCATTCCCGCCCCTGCCTCCCACCTCCTGCCAAGGAGGGTGCCGAAGAGGGGTCTACAGGGACCTGGGGGTGGTGATGGTAGTCTAGGACTTTCTCAGAGTTTGGGAAAAGCAAGCTCAGAACTGAGTCCAGTCTGGACTGGCTGTCGGTGCCTTAACTGCACTGCAGCCCCGAGGACCAGTCTGGGGGGGTCCAGCCCTGAGGGCCAAGCTGTCCCCAGGTCCCCTCCTCTGCACATTGTTTTGCTGTGGGTAGCTGCCTCCTCTGAGCAGTCTGACTGGCGCGTGTCCCCCTTCCCCCACTGGAGACTTCATTTCCCTGCAAACAGCTAAACCTGACCGAGGGCCAAGTAGGATTAGATGCTGGGAAATACTGTTTGGGCCCCAGAGTGGCTAAAATCATCCCAGCGCCCAAACCACGCTGACCTGGTGAAAACGCTTCCACAAACATTTTCAAAGAGGGAGCGGTTTCAGTCAGGGTTGGCTCCGGCTCCAGGGAGGAGCCCAGCCAGAGACCCAGCGGCACCATTGAGCACCCTCGCTCTGCCTGCTGTCCGTCTGCCCTGCCCCTTGCCCTTCCCCACTGGTGTCATCACGCCTCATCCAACTGGGAGAGCAGTGGCCATGTTCTCACATCCATGCGGGAGACCTGGTTCAGGTCCCAGCCAGGGCACCGCCCGTGCAACCCCCCACCCACCTGCCAGGGGAGGCTTGTGTGTGTCTGGGCTGCTGAAGGGGTCTCCGCTGGTCTTACAGACTAGGAAAGACTAGGAAGAAAGAGCTGGTGATCCACACTTCAAACAAAGTCAGTGAAGACCCTGTGGGTCTCATGGCAGTTGGGCCTGGGGTTGCTGAGAGTGGGGGCCCACTTGGGGCACACTAACAACAAGAGCAGCAACTGCCTCACTGTCCAATGTCGTTGGTCCCCACCCTGCCTGCCCTGCCCTGTGGGACATTGTGGAACTGCCCGGGGGTGGGTGGGGGTGGGGGTGGGTGTTCTGAGGCTGCTGTCCATCTTTATGGAAGCAGGTGGCCTCATCTTTCTCCTGGGGGGCCCCTGAGGAGCTCCAATCGTCACCTTTCACCGAGCAACTGAGCGCTGCACCATGAGGCCCTTTGGGAAGCCCTGAGACACATCAGCATGTGGAGGGAAGCTGGCTGGCTCCCACAGCACACAGGCAAAGTCTGGGGACAGTTTTGTTGGTCACCACTGGGGGGGTCTGTGTGCACTGCTGGCATCCAGCCAGCGGCAGCCGGGGCTGCTGCTAAGACCCTGGGGTGCACAGGACACCCCCAAGTGTCCCAAGTGTCCCCAGGGCCCAGGCTGAGAGGCCGTGGCTAGCGCAAGCCTGTCCCTTCTTCTTCCCAGGGGACCCTGTGCTTTCCTCCTTCCCCCGAATGGCTACACTGATTCCTCTGGACGCAGAGGGAGGGGCGTTTCAGGAATGGAATCGCTCTCTTCCTTTTGACCGACGCAAGCTTGGCATTGACAAGGAGGGAGGGGGAAAAAGCAGTAATTATGAAGGCGCCGAGGAAACAGAGGAAACACAGAAATAGAGACGTCCGTGCACTGGAAGAGGCTGCTGGGGCCTGTGTGGTCTCCGATGTGTGGTCTGTGGGCCGGCGTGGATGAGGGCTTGGGGGTCCAGCAGGCACGCCTGCCAACATCAGGGTAGGACGGGGATGCCTTCTGAGGCCCATCTGTCTGGGTTCAAATCCACCCCCTGCCCCTTGAAAAGCGGGTGTTCAGAGGCACTCAGGCAGCCAGGGAGGTCACAGTGGCTGAGTGGTGGGCTCTTTGCCTCCGTGTGGGAGGCCGGGGTTCGATTCTTCCCCAGTGGAGGCTGGCGTGTTGCTAGGTGGCTGAACGGGCTTCAGTGGAGCATCCAGTCTGAGAGGGGCTAGGAAGAAAGGCCCGGAGGTCTCTTTACGACAATCTGCCAACAAAACCACTGTGGATGCCAACACGGACCCACGGGCAGTGCGGGTCAGGACAGTTTCACTCTGTTTTCTGCGTGGTCCCCAGCAGTAGGGCACTTCCTGGGGGGCAGTTCACTAAAACAAACTAACAACTATTCCTCTCAGCCTCGGTTTTCCGTGCGCGCTGCGTTGTCATAGCTCACATGCATGTGAGTGGATTCCCGTAAAGCGAACAAAACAAAACCCGTGGCCTTTTTTAGGCGATCCCGACTCACCGTTGATCCCCACAGGACAGAGGAAGGAGCCCGGCGGCCTCGGGGTGACTAACCCCCAGGTTGGGCTGCTCACCACAAGGTCAGCAGTTCGGAATCACCAGCCCCTTTGAGGAAGAAAGCCGAGGCGTTTGGTCTATTTCCACAAAGAGCGAGAGTCTCGGAAACTCACGGGCCTCTATGAGTCGGTATCGACGCGACGGCAGTGAGTTTTCTTCCAGGACAGAGCAGCACTGCCCAGGGGGTCCCCAGGCGGTCAGCCTTTCAGAAGCAGGCAGTCTCATTTGTCTCCCGAGGAGCAGCTGGTGGGTTTGAACCACCTGTCTGGAGGTTAGCAGCCTGATGCTTACCCGCCAGTGATTCCTGTTAACCAGGTTACTTTGGGGGGCAGTGTGTGTGGGAGGGCCACCGTGACCGGAATGCCCGGGTAGTGTAAGCTGTCAATATCCTTGGCTGCTACTGGGAAGGGTCCGCTCAGAGGCACCAGGAAGGGTCCGCTCAGAGGCACCAGGAAGAAAGGCCTGGTGATCTACCTCCTAAACACTAAGCCGGTGACAACCGTGTGGGGCACGTGGGGCCACCGTGAGTGGGGCTGGCTCAGGAGCTTCTGTGTTCACAGGGAGGTCTAGGCCCCAGGGTGGCAGCAACCAGGGCATTGTGGAGAGCTGGGCCCTCGAGGCCCTGCCCAGGCTGGGGGGTTGGGATCCTCAGGGACACCTGACTGCCCGGGTGGCCTGTATGTGTGTCGGGTGGGGGTGGGAGGGCAGGGTGTGTGTGCTGGTGACAGGGTGAGCCGTCCTGCCAGGCTGACAAGGGAGGCAGGCCCTCCCTAGGAACCCAGAGGATATGGTCTCAGAGTAGTCAAAGCCGCAGCCCTGCCCCACCCCCAGCCCCCACCGCCCCATGGCCTGGAGCAGCCAGGAGACGGAGGAGCGGCCTGCGGGGCAGCTCAAGGCAGTGAAGACACACTTGCCAGGCTGCTCGGGGTGGGCAGCCTGGGGGGCGGGGGCAGTCACCTCATCAGGCTGTCACCTGGGGCAGATCAAGTCCAAGCTGGCCAACACCACCTGGGCCAGTTCCCCGCCACCTGCAAGCCTGGGGCCACCCTCTCCACCTGTCCCCTCCCCTCCAGAAGCCCTGCAGTCCCCCATGGCTCCAACTCCTGGAAGGGGGCTGGGGAGGGCTGTCCCTGCCCCTCCAGAAGCCTTGCAGACCCCCATGGCTCCAACTCCTGGAAGGGGGCTGGGGAGGGGCCGGGAGTCGGGGAGTGGGCTCAGCCATCTGTAGAAACGACATCCTGGTGCAGCTGAGCCCCGAAGTCAAGATGCTGAGAGAATTATGCCTCACACCCCTGGACCTGTGTGAGTGTCTGATGTGCACACGCGTAAGTGTGAGTATGGGCATGTGCGTGTGAAAGTGTGCGCTGCTATGTGTGTGTGGGAAAAGGCATGGGAGTGGGCGTCTGAGCGTGCGCTTGAGTGTGTGCCTGGGTGGGTGTGCATGGGGCTGGTGTGCAGCCCCGAGAGGAGGGGTGGTGGCGGCCAAGAAGGAGCTGTGGTTGCAGCATCTCGTGGTCCTCACTGGTCTAGGAAAGCACCCTGGTTTCACTGCTTCTCTGGGTAACCCCTCCCTCACCTCTTCCCCCCACCCACACCTCTGGTGTCCCTCTCCCATCAGGCCTCAGTGGGAAGATGGCCTCCTGTGCCCTGGGCCCCCTGCAGGGCTGCTGTCTGCTGCTGATTTTTACCTGGGCCACGGTGCTGGGCCGAGTGTCCCATGGCCAGCAGAGGTCGCAGGAACATGAGGTGACCCCAGGATATGCCAAGGTGAAGGGGACCAAGGAGACACTGCCCCCTCAGGACCACAATGAGAGGTAAGGACTGTGGACACAGGGTCAGAGGGCCTGGCTGCCCCCAGGGGCTGTGGGGGAGCTCTGAGGGGCCTTTCTGGATCTGAGCATGGGAACCCAGCCACAATCAGACCCCAGGGGGACTGTCTGGTGAGACTCCCTCTCCCACCCCCTACCCCGGCCCCCAGGCAATTTCTCACAACAAACCAGCCCCCAGCCCAGCCTTTCTGACTGCCCTCCAGTCCTGCCGTATCCCTTGGAATCCGTCTCTGGGACCTTGAGACCAGAGGAACTAGATGGTGCCCATGGTGCCTGGCTACCATGACCAGCTGCCCTGAAAGGGATCCCATTACAGGGTCCTGGGGAGAGTGGGGGGAAATGCAGTCCAGAACTTGAGATCATAAAATCAACCAGGCTTACCCATCAGTTAGAGCCTGGTGGGATCCCCAAGACTCCGGCCCTCAGTCACCCTTCAGGTGGGGAACTGAACTCACCCCCACCCATGGCTTCCCTGTCAGCCCAACAACAGAGGGGTCTGTCAGGGGGCAATGACATAGCAGGCACACACCTATCTGAGAATCACCCACCAGGAGACAACCAAGGGGCAGCCTTCCCCGCAGGACAGCCTTTGGAGGGGGAGGGAGCAGCAGGGAGGGATGTAGCAGACTCAGGGAGGAAGTGGCCGAGGGAGGCCAGCGTGGGATCACAGTGAGACAGCGGAACACACAGGTAACAGGAGAAGAAATCTGTGGGCCTTGACCCTGGGGCTTGGCCAGGGAGTCAGATGCAGTTCAGAGAAACACCACACGGTGGGGCTATGGAGCTGTCACCGCCCCGCCACAGCTGCAACATTGTAGCAGAACCTCCAGTTTAGAAAGTAGCAGCTCAGGAATATTCCCTAGAATCATGGATAGCCACTGGGCTGGCCAGCAAAACAATGCTCTATGTATCCAGCCAGGGACTTTCCTGAAGCGAAGTCCCTGGCTAGGGCAGGGGTGGGTGGGTTGGAGAAGAGGTTGGGAGGGAATAGGCAAGTTGGCAACACTGGAACCAAAGCCTGGGGATCTGCTTCCAAAAGGTCCAAGCCTTAGACATTGACTCAGTGGCAACAAATGGCAGCAAACAAATAAAAAAGTATCCAGGCCTATTGCCGTCCAGTGGTTTCTGTCACCCTGCGGACCCTGTGTGCAGGTGGGACTGGCCCACAGGGCTTTTCCTTCACTGACGTCTTTCTGGACGTGGACTGCCAGGCCTTTCTTGCTCGGCACTGCTGGGCGGGTCCGCCAGCCTTTACATGGCGGTGTAGCATACACCGCACCCTGAATGATCTCCTGGACTCGTGGGTTCCCCCTGGGGCCCTCGCACGGCCCTCATCGGTGACCGCTGGGTTTCCATCTGGTGTGCAGGGGCACACAGAAGGGGGGTGTCTGGGCTCTGAGAGTTCACTGCGTTGACCATGAGGCCTTCAACCACTCAGGACTGACGAAACGCCTGAGAAACACAGCCCCCACCAGGCAGAGGAGCCCGTTGCTTCTAGATGCTTCCGCTGCTGCGACCCTGTGACCCCCATGTACCAGCCCATCCCAGTGCCCCAGGTCAACATCACCATCCTGAAAGGTCAGTTGCTGCAGGGCCAACGGGGGAGGGGGTGGGTGATTCCAGGGAGAGTACTGGGACCCGAGAATTGCTCCCTGGTGCTGGGGTGGTGGCAGGGGTGGGGTGGGGTGGGGTGGAGCACAGAAGCCAGCTGTCAGCTGGAGAGGGGGGGGAAGGAGGAGGAGAAGGAAATTGAGTTGCTGAGGGCATCCAGGGGGAGGGGATGAAAAGGGGCGGCAGCCCCCAAAACAGGAGAGGGGGCTTTGCAGAGCCTGCTCACCCCCAGCATATTCCCACGCCAGTCCCAAGACTTGGTACAACCCAGGGGTCCCCCGAGTGCCACTGCCCGCCTGGCTGGCCGGTGTACCCTGTTTCCTATGCCCACATCTGCTCCCTGCGTGTTCAGAGCCAGCGGCAGGCCTGGCTGCAGACACTGCTGCTTCTGGACAGGCCCACATGTTTCCTGGCCTCTGCCAAGGCTTCTGGGAAGGGGAAAACCAATGGTGATGAGCTTGGATGGACATAGGCACCCCCTTGAGATTGGAGGGGCCCGCTGGTTTGACTGATGGTGGTGGGGGTGGGGGGATACTAGGGGGTGCAGAAGTGGGAACTGCTCAGAGAGTTAACAAAGATCTTCCTGGGGCCCAGCTGCCCCACCCCAGAGTACAGACTCCAGACTCCAAGCCAGAACTCAGACTGGCACAGGTCCCCCATGTTCACTGGAGCTCTGATCACACCAGCCTGAGCGTGACTGGGGATGGGGTGTCAGTCCATGTGGCCCCTACCTGCTGAAGGGGGGGTGTTGCTCAGCCTTAAAGAAACAGCATCCCAGGTCCTCATTACCATGGCAGTGGACCTGGAAAGGGTTAATGCTGAGTGATGTGAATCAGTCACATGCACACATGCTGTAGGACTCCAGGGACAGGGAGTGTCCAGGATAGGCGGACACATAGGTCACCAGGGGGTGGGAGAGGGACCCCAACCACAGCACTGCCCTCCAATCGAGTCTGATTCACAGTGACCCCAGACCATAGAGCAGACCCACCCCAGGGGGTCTCTGAGGCTCTCACGCTTCATGGGAGCAGTCTGCGAGTCCGGGTGCACTAGAGAAGCAAATCCCAGGGTACTCATCTATGTGTAAGAGAGAGCTTTCTATCAAAGAGCAATTGTGTATGAAGAAAACATCCCAGCCCAGTCCAGATCACATCCATAAGTCCATAAATCACCCTTCAGACCCCCAGAGGGGTCCCAAGGTGTCATTTTGACAGCAGCAGGCGGACGGACGCCCCTTTCTCCCTCGAAGCAGTTGGTGAGCTTGAACCACCGACTTCTCCCTTAGCAGCGCAGTGCTTTGACCACAGTGCCACCAGCAGGTCACTGTGCCGTGATCATCACAGAGGATAAAGCCATGAGTAGTGAGCGGAGTAGGGAGACCCCCTCCCCCCATCCCCGAGCTGTCCGCCTCACCTCCTCTGTGTCCCCCTGTCCCTTCCAGGCGAGAAGGGTGACCGAGGAGACCGAGGCCTCCAGGGAAAGTTCGGCAAAACGGGCTCAGTGGGCGCCCGGGGCCACGTGGGCCCCAAGGGGCAGAAGGGCTCAGTGGGGGCACCCGGGGACCGCTGCAAGACCCACTACGCGGCCTTCTCGGTGGGCCGGAGGAAGCCACTGCACAGCAACGACTACTACCAGACAGTGGTCTTCGACACGGAGTTCGTCAACCTCTACGGCCACTTCAACATGTTCACGGGCAAGTTCTACTGCTACGTGCCTGGCATCTACTTCTTCAGCCTCAACGTGCACACCTGGAACCAGAAGGAGACCTACCTGCACATCATGCGCAACGAGGAGGAGATGGTGATCCTGTACGCGCAGGTGAGCGACCGCAGTATCATGCAGAGCCAAAGCCTGATGCTGGAGCTGAGAGAACAGGATGAGGTCTGGGTGCGCCTCTTCAAGGGCGAGCGGGAGAACGCCATCTTCAGTGACGAGTTTGACACCTACGTCACCTTCAGCGGCTACCTGGTCAAGCACACCTCCGACCCCTAGCAGCCCACCGCGCCCCGCTTCCCAACGTGCGCCCCGTCCCCGCTTCCTGGCTGGCTTTGGCGTTGAGCGCGATGCCCCCCGGCAGGATGGCAGGCAGAAAGCACCCTGCGGGCTGGGGACCCCACGGAGCCCCGAGGACAGGTGACATCCTGGGTCCCTGAGGTCCGAGGAGTCCTCCGCTCCACTCTACGTGCATGTCCTTAACTGACCTCCATCCCCACCCCTAAAAGTCTTGGCAGGACCAGGGCAACAGCTCACTCCCTTTTCTGGAAGTTATTAGCAAATTCTCAAGGTTTGGACAAATGGTGTGCAGACAGGGCAGGCGTTGCTACGCCCACCTTCCCACCCAGTCACCCTGGAGGGCTGTTTCCAGGGGGTCGCACGGGGTGCCTGGGAAGTGAGATCACAGTGGAATCAAATTCAGTGGTGAGGTGGGAGTGAGGGCAGAGCTCAGGGACACAGAAGACCACAGTGGGCCACATCCAAATTCCCTGGGGGCAGCTGGAGCAGTGCCATGCTCGGCCGTGCCCCCCCCATGCCTTTGCCACAGCAGGGCTTTATGAGCCACAACAGCAAGGGGGGTTGGGGGACACAGACATCAGCCCTCAGGGGGTGCCTGTCAAGCCCCCTCCGTTCACTTCAGGCTGTGAACAAGGTGTGGTTACTCCAGGCAGCAGGTTCCTGGTGGGTCCCCGGAGAAACCGAAAAAGTCAAACCAGGTGGGGTGAAGCCACTCCACCCCCCATCCCCCATGACCTTGCATGGATCAGGGTGGGGCTGCACTCCTCAGGGGTCCACCAGGCTTTTACGAGCTGGCATCCCCCAGTGAGCAGTTCAATGCTTGCCCAGTTGCACCGGGAACACCCGCGAGAAGCAACGCCGAGACCCACACCGGGTGCTGGCCGTGCAGCCCCTGGTGGTGGCTAGTGGAGACTCAAGTGTGTCAGCGTGGTTCGGGGCTGCGGGGTCTTCTCAGGGCCAGGCTTTCAGAAACAGGTGCCAGAGGCCTGTCTCCCAGGGCCCCTCCGGGTGGAGCTGACTTCAGCAGCACACGGTGTGTGTCCAGGGGCTACATGGGAGCAGTAGCAGGTTAAGACCACCAGGCTCTGTCTGCTCTGCTCCTAAACCTGTCCACAGGCCCCAGGGAGGGTCTCCATGCCTGCCCCCTCCCCTGCCCTCGCCATCAGCTTTCTGTTCTAGCCCATGCTGCTCAGCCATGGAAGGCTCCAGGCTTTGGCTTGGAGGCCACTGTCACGGTTAGTT